TTCTATGCAGTAACCTTCCCTAGGTTATAACAGTCGGGAATTGGTGACTTTGGGGCGAGTGTATTAAGTAAGAGCACGTTTTCTCTTCCTTATCTGTTTAGCCAATTTGCGGTGTTAACATTCCTGGTGCTAAAACACATTATTTTGCCCGAAATTTATCGGCAAACTCTATTCTTGACTGATCTGAAGTATCTTTGCCTGACATCTCTTTCAGAACAGTCTCCGTTGAGTGATATTAATATAAATCCTTCCATAGCTTCTGCTATCATCTCTAATGTGGATCCTCACACATCATGCGGACCTGATGTTGTTCTTGTGAAATTCCATAAAAATGTGCTCCCGAACTGGCACCTGTTTTCTCATTGCCTCTGGCTTTATTGCTGTTGTAAATCCTCCTCTGTTGTGCTACTCTTTAAGAACTCAGGTGTCTATCCCTTCAAACTAGGAGCCTTCTACCACTTCTGGTAATTTATTAAAGGCCCTAATCCAATCTAAATTGGTTAAGCGCCTCACATACTAAGTGTTTCCTTTAAAAACAATATAGCTTTCGCTCCTCTTGGTCAGTTGCTGATGTACCATCGCTGAAAGAGTCTATGAAGCTTTGGATAAGACTGGAGAAGCTCGGACTGTTTCTTTGGAGATTTCGAAAGCGTTTTACAGAGTTTAGCATACTGGCCTTTTTTCAGAAGTTGAAAGTCTTCGCTATTTCCTGACGAATGTTTGAACTGATTCAATCTCTGTTATCATATCCTGAAATGAAATTAGTCCAGAACGGCCACTCTTCCAGATCTTTTTATACTTATGCAGGGATCTCCTTGACTCTATCCTTGGAACTACACTGTTCTCAGCAAAGACCTATAGATTCTAGATGAAATACAACGAAGAATTAGCAATATTATAGGTCCTGATCTGGCGTTTCGGTCTCATTCACTTTCTCACCTCCGTAATTTAGATGCCTTGTCCCTTTGAACTATTCGCTATGGTAACTAAACTTTATGTATATGAGGGCAGCTCTAGATTGGCAGCTAGGTCTTATCAGTTAACAGTTGAATTGGCTAAATGTAACCAAGATTTCTATACTAACAGTTTCTTTTCTTTCACTTATCTCTTCTTGAACTCTCTTCCGGTTCCATGCTTTCCAGACAAATTTGATCATCAAAAATTTAAATGCAATGTCAATCGTTATCTGCTGTATCAATTATGCTGCTACTTTTCTAACTCATCCATAATGTTTGTTTTCACTTATTTAATTAATACTGAGTCACCTATTGCGCCTTAGTGGCTTTACGGCCTTGCATGATTACCTCCCCCCCATAAAAAAGAAAATATTAGAACTTAAAAGTGATAAAAGTGTACGCTTGAATTGAAATTAACCTCGGACGACTGTCCATTAACAAGGCTTTATTTTAGGGATCTATCTGTTATTAAAGACTTGTTAATTGAGAAAACTTTTCTAGTGATTCCATAGCTGGACACCTTATGTAGCACAACCGTGTGTCATACGTAGTTAGAGGTATTCGATGTATGTGTGGTGAATATTAAAGTCACCACAAAGTCGGTCTTCCTCACATATGCCTGTTAGTAGGATGTAGTGTCCCAACGAATGACAAAATGGAAAAGCTGCGCAGACTGCGTTTCTTCAGGATTCTTCTAAGGATGCTATACACAGAAATCTTCTTTGTGTGTGTGTGTGTGTGTGTGTGTCTGTGTGTGTGTGCGCTTTACCTACTGAGGCCGTTAACGTCTACTGGATATAAAATGAATCTATTTTGATAAGATATTTTCCCCTATCAGTCTTATTTAACACCCCCCCAACACACACGCAAGCATCATATTCACAGGCGCACACACAGATACATACACACGGGGGCACACCTACACAAGCGCGCACAGGCACACATTTGTACACATACATTCTCGCGGCAGCGCAGACACACAAATACGCACATTTATGGGTTCGCGCGCGCACAATCAGCTGGGGACACACGCGGGCGAGAAAACACACTCAGATATATACTACCTCTCTCTCTATCTCTATCTCTCTCTCACTCATACATACGCTCGTGCGCCCATGGAGACGCACACTAAGAAATTTAGAAAACTGAATTACAATCTGCGGAAAAGTCAATGAGAAACCACTTCCCTATATTTTCTATCAATGCATGGTAATAACCATGGTAATAACATGGTAATAACCATGGTAATAACCATATAATAAGCGGAAGGAATCTATGAAGTGCCATGATCGCTTACGGGTCAAAAGAATATACAGGGGAGACAATTCAAAATGCGTCACATCTCGTTGAATGGCCACTATAAGGACAAATTTGGGCACCTCTGGGTCGGGTAATGGTTAGCAAGCTTGTCTCGCTAGAACAGTTACGACTGAGTAGTAAGTTCGATCCTCATAATTTCGGCCGTGTGCCACATCTAAGCTACACTTGGAAAATCACTATAAGGTTAAATTAACGACTATTTAAGCAAAAATAGAATGGTCATATAAGGCAAAATTAATGACTATTTAAGCAAAAATAGAATGGTCATATAAGACAAAATTAATGACTATTTAAGCAAAAATAGAATGGTCATATAAGGCAAAATTAATGACTATTTAAGCAAAAATAGAATGGTCATATAAGGCAAAATTAATGACTATTTAAGCAAAAATAGAATGGTCATATAAGACAAAATTAATGTCTAAGCAAAAATAGAATGTTCATATATGGCAAAATTAATGACTATTTAAGCAAAAATAGAATGGTCATATAAGGCAAAATTAATGACTATTTAGATCTATTTGTATATCATTTACTCAGCTAGTAATTAAGTTGATGCAAACGTGTCCAGTATGTTTGACAAAATATTTTATTCATAAAACTTCATTGCCTCATTAAGCTATCAAATTATTTTCTTTGTCTTGATCGCAATTTATATATGGATTTGAAGCAAAGTTTCCGTCATTTTACAGCCTCCTTTACAAATGGATTTCGTTCGATTTCTATGAACTCGTGGCAGTTTTCAGTTAAATTGTGCATTCAGTTACAATGATCGATTTCGATATTGGTTCGATGACATCTTCCAATGCTGAAACGGTGAACCAAGTAAAGACTGTGACATGGAGCGAAACAATTCGGAAAGTTGACAGTTTTGGACGATGCAACAATCCCTAAAGTATATCATCACAAATGATTTACAGTTTATACGTCCCTTTTGGGAATTGTGAACGGCCTTGGTCCAACAGTGTTATGGGAAAGAATGCGCCTTTTTCTTCAGCCATTCGTTAATAAAGGAAGCCAGTTACTCAGAGGAAATTTGGCTCTTTATATTGTCTGAAATGATTCCTGTATTTGTCTTTGTAACATTCTCGCTTTGGTATTCTCTTAATATTCTAGACCAGTTATGTTTTCCAAAAAATAATTTTTCAAGAAAATAAAATCGATTAAACGAAACAGGATCATTTTTGTCAGGAATAATGCGAATACAATTTCTCTTTTTTTTTTTAGTTTTATGCAAAAATTTCTTGCGTTTCATTTCTCAAGAGGATTAGATTATATAACATTTGGTAAACAGAGAAAAAAGAAACAATAATGCTTTTCGTTCGATAAATTCTTTAAGGAAATTTCGCTATATCAATTTTCCTGGGATTGGCAAACAGAAAAAATGAAACGAAGCAAGGTGGAATGTTTGATGATAGAGATATTGTCTGATGATAAGGATATTTCAGTAAAGAATTAATCATGTTTGAGAATAAAAATTCAGCATAATATTACCTGATTAGTAGTTGATGCAGATTGAATAGTTGCAATTAAAAGCAGCTAAAAATGTGATGAAAGAAATACTACACAAGGATTAATAATAGTTACCAATGCTTCACCTAATAACATTTCAACATATGGCTTTAACGCCTTCAGTATCTGTCTATATTTCTAAGATGAGGTATTATGTATATTATTTACATTATTTACATTATTCGGACTATTGTCCTCATCTTTGTCGCCATATTTATTACAACGTTGCAGCCTTTCAGTAACTGTCTATATTTCTGAGATGAGGTATTATGTACACTATTTACATTATTCGGACTATTGTCCTCATCTCTGTCGCCATATTTATTACAACGTTTCGGCCTTTCAGTATCTGTCTATATTTCTGAGATGTGGTATTATGTACATTATTTACATTATTCGGAGTATTGTCCTCATCTCTGTCGCCATATTTATTATTAGTTCAATCGGCTTTTTTAATATTTTAATATTTGGAAATCATCTTCGAATACGTTTTCACAACATCTCCCACGTGACGACGATGTGATCATATTTAAGCGGAACGCTGATCTTATATAAAAATTTCAGTTATCTGTTTGGATTAGTTGTGCTTCTTATGTCCATCTTCTTTTCATGTTGAATTTTATATGTTCTAATGTTAATTATGTTTAATGAATATGTCCTGATGATGGTCTAAAATAGACCGAAACGTCTGACGTTGACTTTATATTAACATTAATACAGTATAATTGCATATTAAGATTTTTGTTTGTTTTTTCTGTATATTTTTCTTCATACTGTCGGATCTATATCCATATTTACTTACATATATATATATATATATATATATATATATATATATATATATATATATATATATATATACACACACACACACACATATATATATATATATATATATATATATATATATATATATAAAGCTAAGTGCATTTTCCCCAAGCTAAATATATGAACAAACACTATATATACAAACATCGATACCTGTAACCTCAAATGTCAGTTTCTTGTGATTTATGAAGTACCGGAAAAGTACTCTGGTTAAAAGGGACACCATGAAGCAGATATAAAGAACCGTTTAATAGAAAGAAAATATCACTGAGTCCGAAATGACCAAATTGTGTAATTATAAACTGTGTGACTTTTGCAGATGTGCTTTTATGTATTTCGGTTAGGTAGAAACGAAAAGTACTTTTACCCGAAAACTGAGAGCCGTTAAATAGATAGATAGATAGAGAGATAGAGAGAGAGAGATAGATAGATAGATAGATAGATAGATAGAGAGAGAGAGAGAGAGAGAGAGATGAACAAATAGACATAGATATATAGATAACAAATGGATATCGATAGATAGAGATGAACAAATAGACATAGATAAATAGATAAATTGATACGAACGAATAGATATCGATAGAGATGAACGAATAGATAGATATCGATAAATCGATAGATCGATAGATATGAACAAATAGACATAGATAGATAGATAGATAGATAGATAGATAGATATGAACAAATAGGCATAGATAGATAGCTATGAACAAATAGACATAGATAGATATGAACAAAGATAGGCAGATAGACAGACAGATAGATAGATAGATAGATAGATAGATAGATAGATAGATAGATAGATAATGACCAGAATATGTTACATAGATAGATAGATAGATAGATAGATAGATAGATAGATAGATAGATATAAACAAATAGGCATAGATAGATATGAACAAAGATAGATAGATAGATAGATAGATAGATAGATAGATAGATAGATAGATAGATAGATATGAACAAATAGGCATAGATAGATAGATAGATATGAACAAATAGACATAGATCGATATGAACAAAGATAGATAGATAGATAGATAGATAGATAGATAGATAGATAGATAGATAGAGTACCGAAAACTTAACTGTCAGTGAAAGGCTATCATTTGCAGACATTGACAGATGCATGTCCTTGGCTTTCGGTATTACTTAACTCCTAATTCAGAACGTGAATCGAATTCGGCAATGAGAAAAATCCTAAGATATAATTCTGGCAATGTGTGCTACCGTCTCTATTTTCTTTGTTCTTCAAATCGGAACCAATTTCTGATTTCTTCGGAGAGATGAAATTAATAACATTTTTCCATTTTTTCTCTTGCTGTCATATATTTTGTCGTATTATGAATGGTTGATTGAGATCATTCTACTGGCTTGAAATTGTACATTTTTCAAACAGGCACTAGTTTCGGACGAATATTTAAGCTCCCTTACCACGGAAGCTTACTATATAATGTAGCAACGCTAATTTTTTTGTCATGGAAATAATGGCGGCAGAATAAAGCATTTAATCGACACTACAATTTACTTTGTATAGACGAATTCCAACTGATATGCTACTTTAGGTGGGAGTTGTGCCTTATGCAGATTCACGGTTAACGGTTAACAGGGATGGGTTAAATAGTAACGTAGAATGAACGCTCTATTCACGGTTAACGTAGAGGCTATCGACACGGAAAGTACAATCGGTGAACAGAGTTCAAATTCTGGGCTTGCCAGTGGCGCTTAGCTTTCGTACTGATGCCCCTGGAAAAGGCGTGGATATGTTTATTCTCCCCCACAGGTATGGGTTAAATAGTAACGTAGAATGAACACTCTATTCACGGTTAACGTAGAGGCTATCGACACGGAAAGTACAATCGGTGAACAGAGTTCAAATTCTGGGCTTGCCAGTGGCGCTAACTTTCGTACTGATGCCCGTAGAAAAAGGCGTGGATATGTTTATTCTCCCCACAGGTATGGGTTAAATAGTAACGTAGAATGAACACTCTATTCACGGTTAACGTAGAGGCTATCGACACAGAAAGTACTATCGGTGAACAGAATTTAAATTCTGGGCTTGCCAGTGGCGCTAACTTTCGTACTGATGCCCGTAGAAAAAGGCGTGGATATGTTTATTCTCCCCACAGGTATGGGTTAAATAGTAACGTAGAATGAACACTCTATTCACGGTTAACGTAGAGGCTATCGACACGGAAAGTACAATCGGTGAACAGAGTTCAAATTCTGGGCTTGCCAGTGGCGCTAACTTTCGTACTGATGCCCGTAGAAAAAGGCGTGGATATATTTATACTCCCCACAGGTATGGGTTAAATAGTAACGTAGAATGAACACTCTATGCTGAGGGGAAGGAAACAGTCCAAGAGATGGAAAATCTTAAATTCGAAAACGTGGAAAACGACAAATGGAATCACAATATGTCTCACAGAAAGTCATTCACAGATAACAAACAAATGAACTACGTGGAGAGCCATGATCACCTACGTCATCATTAGACATGGCCTTAAAAATAAATAAGAATAGGTTAGTATTCATCAATCCACCCACGAGGATAGAATGTGGCACAAGGCCGGTTTAATGTGGGTATCCCCGAGCCCGTAGGCTCGGCCAAAAATATAGCCATTTTGAACCCGCCTTGACGGATTCAGGCCCTGTCTACGTCCCCGAACGAAACCTTGCCCTTCGGCAAAGCTTCGTCCGGGTTCCTCTCTGCTAATGCAGAGCGTTTGACAGACGCCGACTCGGAAGCTCACAAAGGCAGCGTACCACACTTTGATCATTGCCCCCGACATTAGACATGGCATTAAAAATAAATAAGAATATGTTGGGAACCTCACTGTTGTGCAATGGTCAGGATTGGAATTGTAGGCAGAATTATTTTCCACACTCTATCCTCTCTCTTACAGGCGGTATGTGGCGAGTCTCTCTGCTTTATCATTTCTACCATGGAAAATGCTCGGACGAACTGCATCTCCTGGCTTCACCTGGTCTGAACTTCACGGTTAGGACCCACCGTGCCAGATAGATAGTAAAAGAAAACGTCATTCCCGCCATAAGTAATTCAATTCAAACAGCTCCTACCCGCGAAACGCTTGCCCTATGGAACATACTCCCAAGAGGATGCTTCCCCGGTTATTGCAATCTTAACCCATGGAAGACTAGAGTCAATCGGTATTTTACTCTCCTATCCATATAAAACACCCCTTAACGTAACCCTCCATCTTGAGTGCCCCCCCCCGGGCCTTGTACAGGATGACCCTTACTGCAAAAAATAAAAAAAAGATAGTGATTTGTTCCCTTATTAGGGGTCACCTGATAATTAACATCAGGGTTAAACGGAATCGTAGAACCGAGATGAAATTTAACCTAAGAAAATATCTTTTTACTTCAGACTAATGCTGGATTTTCGTTATGCAACACGTTATTTGACGAGAATCTTCATTTTTTTTATGTGTTTAACATTCTGGGTGTAGTATCATATGCAAATGAAATAGACAAGTATAAATAGAGAACAACCGGTGAACCTAATTGCATTGCTTAGCAAATCCGTTTGCTAAACGTAACGCGGAGAACTGTGCTACGACTGCTACTATATAGAGAACTATACTGACATTAAGTTTTTTGCCACACGACGTTCAACGAATATCTCCACATTTAATTATTTTTCCTGATAAAACACTATATTTAACGAGCGTCTCCATCTTTTTAGTACAACTTTAACATTCTGAGCTGAAGTGTTTTACTTATACCTCGCTATATTTCACTTTGTCTTATTATTGCAGAACTGCGAGGTGTTTAACATTCTTTTTCCTTATACCACACTATATTAGCATCTTCATCTTTTTTTTTCTTTTTTACAACGCTTTAAGCTGTCTTATATTCTGGAACGAAGATTTTCATTTTACCACACGCTATTTGACAAATATCTTTTGGATTGATACGTATAGGAATGTTTTTAATCGTATGAAATCATATTATATACAAACCGTTTAATTTTTAATAAAAGACAAAATGTATGGTTGTTAGCAAGTTGAAAAGTCAAGAGTGCCATCTACGAATGACAGATGCCATAATCAAGCTATTACGGATATTTAGATATATACGAAGTAGTTTAACGGAGGAGGAAAAAATGTGTCACCAAAACAGGTAGGCGTATTGGAATAACGAAAGTCATATCCAAAAGCAAAGCAAAGTATTAAGAAATGCATACATTTTCTATTTTTTTTTTGTCTATACAAAGCTTATTTTAATATCAGAAATATAAGACTGCGAGATGTGAACCGATATATATATATATATATATATATATGTGTGTGTGTGTGTGTGTAAGCAAATATATGAATATAGATCCGACAGTATGAAGAAAAAATATACGGAAAAAAACAAACAAAAATCCTAATATGCAATTATGCTGTTTTAATGTTAATATAATGTCAACGTCGGACGTTTCGGTCTAGTAGACCATCTTCAGGACATATTCATAAAACATAATTAACATTAGACTATATACAATTCAACATGAAAAGACGATGGACATAAGAGTAAGACTGATTAATTATGTGTTCTTTGAAATGGATGCCCCCACCTTATCCGACGTTGACATTATATTAACATTAAAACAGCATAATTGCATATTAGGAATTTTGTTTGTTTTTTCCGTATATTTTCCATATATATATAAATAAATATATCTATATATCTATATACATATATATATATATATATATATATATATATATATATATATATATATATATATATATATATAATAAATGGAACTGCGCAATCTTGATATAAAGAGGACATTCAGAGAAGGATGTATTCAGTGTGAAGAAAGGTAAGTAAATAAAAGAAGCTGGGTCGTAATAAATGGGGCTTGATAAATGTCAGTATATGTACCCATCTATGGGTAATTAACGGCATGCGGATAAAACAAGATACATGTTTAAAACGGCTGGTTTTGTTAAATATTATGGTTGAGAAATGATTGTCAAGGTTTGGATCCCGTGTCTTGCGGTCCAGGTTAGAGCTAAAAAATTGAAAGACAAGGGGAGAAACTAATTCTACTGACCTACGTCTAGCTTCGACAGGTTGTGAAGCTATAATGAAAAGTTTTGCTATGACGTACCTCAAAAAATATGCGAGTTTGACTTTCGTGAAAATCTTCTGAAATTATAAAAAGACGGCTAATGATTACGCGTCGTAGAACAATACAATAAAACAATATGGCGTCACTCTTGGATGAACAAGGGACGTAATTGTGGAAAATTATACTGAGAGGTGCCTAGCCCTGGGTAACAGCTGCCCGAGCCTAAGCCCTCTGATTGTATCAGAGATAGGGATCGGTGCCCGCACCGAGTTCAAAGCAACCGACGGCTGCGGAAGCTGCAGAGGTTTCGGGCAATTTTTGTTCCTAGACCAGGTGTACGCGCTTGGGCCCCTCACTTAAAAAACCGACCTTGTGTCAAAACTCGTCTTAGTGGGGAGACATAGTAAATACCTAACGCTTTGGCAAAAGCTTTTGAAAATTTAAAGAAAAAAAAGGGTCCAGTAATAACTTGTAGGGTTTCGTTTTGTTTTCAGGCATAATTACATATTTTCTTTTTGCCTACCCTGGTTAGAGATAATTTATAAACTATTAAATAAACTTGAATTAATTTGACAAAATAAAATAGGAGAAATTAGTGACAAGATGATATTGCATCGACCTTCTAATCCATGGGGAACTTGCCTGCACCAAAAGATGTTTTTTTTTTAATTACTGGCTTTAAAATTGGCTCGAATGGATTCTCTTATGAATTCTTAAAATCATCTACAAACGGATAGGAAATGAGCTTAGCAAATATTAAAAAAATCGACAGCTTTAAGACACGGATATGTCTTCTCACCGGACTTATTCAACCTATACAGCGAGGTGATTCTGACAGAATTAAACTCCTACCGGGGTTCATCATTGGCAGTCTCATAAGAAAAAAATCTACAGAAATCCGTGGAGGAATGTGAGATGAAAGGATTAAACATCAAATGCAGGAAGACAGAATGCAAGGCTTTTAGCAAATGTATGAGCCCCAAAAAACAGAGATACCAAAATTAAACCAGAACAAAAATTTAAACATCTGGGAAGTGTCTTA